TGGCCAGAAACTCCTACCTATTTTTTTGTTGTTCTGAACTTAAAACAATTAAAAATAATCCTGGCAAGGGGAATTCATTTTATTTCCTCTTGCCAGGATTATTGTTACGTCTACCTAATGGCCATCTCTGATGCTCCTCTCCCTCCAATCCCCATTCCTCTTTTGCTCTTTGGTTCTTCTTCTAAACTAGTGGTCAGCAAACTCATTAGTCAACAGAGCCAAGTATCAACGGTACAACGACTGAAATTTCTGTTGAGAGCCAAATTTTTTAAACTTAAACTATATAGGTAGGTACATTGTTATTAACTCAATTAGGGTACGCCTAAGGCTTAGGAAGAGCCACACTCAAGGGGCCAAAGAGCCGCATGTGGCTCACGAGCTGTAGTTTGCCGACCACGGTCCTCAACCCAAGGTGACCAATGTCAGGCTCCGCCTTGAAATCCTTCCACAGCTTTCCGTCTCAGGGCTGCCTTTTATTCCTCAAGCAATTCAAAGAGGATTTAATTGAAAACTAAAATAACTGTGAAACACTGAGTTCAGCATTTTTTTTCCTATCCTATAGAACTTCCAAGGGCGTTTCCCAAATCGTGGACCACGGCCCCTCTTCTGCCACTACACATCCCTGGGAATTGGAATGGTGGAGCTCGCCTGCCTGGGTGTGAGCCATCCCAGCGAAAGCGGGCAGGGCAGCCTGAACTGTGATCCCACATCCGTAAAACAGGGACAGCAGGAGAGCCACATTCCAGGCTTGTTAGGAGAATTAAATAGTTGACCTATGGAAGGTGCTCAGCACAACAGATAGCACATTACCAGTAAAGGGTGGCGGTTGTTTTCATTATTTTGGTGACACGTTTTGGAAACGATCTCCTACAGGGTCTGGCTAAAATTCCCTACCCAGATACACTCAAACCTTCAAAAGCGGACTCCTGCCAGCCCTTCCACACTCCTGTCCTCCCCGCCATGACCCCTCCACACACACACACACACAAACGGAGCGGTGCAAACTGAACTCTGCCCTTCCCTGAAAATTCCATGGGCTTTCCTGTTTCTGTACCTCGGTACGGACTGTTCCCTTTGCTTTGCTGCTTGTTTGTCCTCTTCTCTAAACTCTGGGGTTTCTGGGAGCAGGGACCCTATTATATTCAGCTTCCCCGGGCGGGACTGTATGTGCTGACCTAGGGACCAGGCCTGGGCCATCTGGATGCCATTTGACATGGCAGCACATCAGTGCATTCAGAACCAGACTTGACCCTCAAAAAGCTTCCCCTGTGGACACAAGTCATTACACATCTGTCAAAATGCACAGGATGTACAACACCAAGAGGGAACCCTAATGGGCCCAGTTGGTTAGAGCATCATCCCAATACACCAAGGTTGCAGGTTCAATCCCTGGTTAGGGCACATACAAGAAGCAACCAATGAATGCATCAATAAGTAGAACAACAACAAAAAATCAATGTTTCTCTCTCTCTCTCTCTCTCTCTCTCTTTTCTCTCTCTCTCGTCTCTCTCTCTCTCTTCTCTCTCTCTCTCCCTTCTAATGTAAACTGTGGACTTTGAGGGGAAAGGATGTATTAATGTGGATTCATCAATTGTAACAAATGCTCCCTGTGATTCAGAATGTTGATGGCGGAAGAGAAGAGGAGGGCAGGTGGGGGCAGGTGGTACATGGAACTCTGCTTTCCAATGTTGTCGTAAACCTAAAACCGCATTTAAAAAAATAAAATTATCTACTAAAATTAAGTGACGAAACACCAATTGTAATTAATGCAGATCTAAAATTAAATCAAAATTAATTTTCCTTTCCTAATATAAAGCTATTACCAAGTTTAGGATACACCTACACCACAGGGCACTTCTACTGGCAAAAGGCAATACCCGCCCGAATCGGGTTTCCAAGCCTCATCAAGACCAAACGTGTTGTTATATTTTAGATGGATGTCCACTTTCTCCTCTGAAGCGCCAAAGGCTCTATTTGGAAACTGACCCCAATACAAAGTCAAGTGAGTGGAGCAGACCTGGATCACCCCTCCGACTTGGGCCTCGGAGTGGAGAGTGCATTCCTCCTCCAGGTGTGGATGCACAAAAGAGGAACAAAGCACCGGACTGCCCTAGCTCACCCTTCAGTTCAGAAGTAGCTACCAGATTGTTTCTCAAAAGGCCATAGCTCAGACGCCAGCTGTCACAGAACAAAAGCACACAATCAGGGAAGAAAGTGATGTGCTCTAATGCGGATGCGGCCGCTGGGGGCACGTCAAAATAAAGCCAGCACTAAGCGCGCACCGCCCCTGAGCATTAGAGGATCAGTCACCCTGCCACACACACCTGACAGCAGAATGTGACTTCCCTGCTTTGGCCTTTGTGACAACTCGGTTGTGGGATAATCCGGGCTTGACCTTTGCCCTCTCACCGCCAGGAACAATAGTTTGCGGAGAGTAATGACTAACCCTCCGCATCTCCAGGCACGCCCCACCTTGCGCCTTCCGCTGGAGCTCTACCTGGTGATTGGCAGAGGTGGCTTTTCAGTCCCCAAGAATGTGCTGCTTTTTCACATCCTCGGATCTGCAAAAATCCTGTTCCCCACGCCCAGGGTGACCTCGCCTTCTCTTCCACCTGCTCATCTCCTCTGACTCCTTCAAGTCCCTGCTCCTCCTTCCCCTGAGGCGTCCTCTCTCTGCCAGGGCTGCGGTGTTCAGTGGGGCAGGAGGGCACGGCTGCCCCTGCATTGCATCTCAGCATGGATCACATTCCTTCTCAGCTATTCATGTAAATGTTGGACTCCCTACTAGTCTGTGCACATCTTTTTTTAAAATATTTTTGTTATGGATTTCAGACAAGAAGGGAGAGGAAAAGAGAGATAGAAACATCAATGATGAGAATCATTGATTGGCTGCCTCCTCCTATTGGGGATGGAGCCCAAAACCCCGGGCATGTGTCCTGTCCGGAAATCGAACCGTGACCACCTGGTTCATAGGTCAACACTCAATCACTGAGCCACACCAGCTGGGTAGTCTGGGCACATCTTAACACAATGTCTGATGCACTGCAGTTGCTCAAGATTTTCTTCATTGAAAAAGACTCTCAAATTGGAACAATCACATGTTATTATATTATTAGAGACAGCACTGCACATTTCCCATACTGTACCTCTTTTAATATTGACAACGGCCCTAAGTAAAGTGAGGGTCATTATTCCCATTTTCCAGAAATGAAATCGCTTTTCCAAGGTTACCTAACTAAAAAGCGACAGAACTGTAAGTTGAACTCAAGTCCAAGACTCCAATGGCTGCGCCTGTAACTACTTAGCCACAGGCTCTATGCCTCCCAGTGAGCGTGAAGAATACTTAATTACTCTAATGTGACTTACTGGGAATACCATACTCAAAAGGAAAATCACTGCATTTATTTTTAAATGATCTGTAACTAAATGTTTGCCAAGAATTTAGACCAGCTTCCTGCCCAACTGATCTGTAGCATTAAGGTTCTCCCTTTATATGCATGCACAGCCCTATGTTTAAATATATATTTCCAGCCCTAGCCGGTTTGCCTTAGAGGATAGAGCATTGGCCTGTGGACTGAAGAGTCCCAGGTTCCATTCCAGTCAAGGGCACATGCCTAGGTTTCCGACTCAATTCCCAGTAGGGGGTCATACTGGAGGCAGCCGATCAGTGATTCTCCCTCATCAGGAGGCAGCCGATCAGTGATTCTCCCTCATCATTGATGTTTCTATCTCTCTCCACCTCCCCCTTCCTCTCTAAAATAAATAAAACTATTTAAAAATAAATAAATAAATCTACCTAAACGGGTTACTAATAAGCAAAAAAAAGAGCCAGCCATAGACAAACAAGGTCAGATTATGTTTATTCTAGTGTGTCAGCTACAGAGTTTGACAAGTCTCCTGGGCAGGACGGGCTCCTACACAGGAGTATCAACTCCGAAGACCTGACCTCTGAAACCAGAGGATAAACATGAAGGCCAGCAGGAGGCAGAAGTGCTCAGGGGATAAGAGTGGGCCTGGGGAAGACGCCACGGGGAGAAGACGACCTTTCGTGGGTGACCCCACATCCTATATGCACATGGAGAGAAGGTGGCTCGTGAGGGGCGGTGCTCAAACACCATCCATCAATCACTTCCAACAGGCACCACCCCTCTTCTCCATCACCCTGTGGTCTTGGGCAAGGATGTCACAGCGCCTAGGAGTAAGGCTTGAATCTCAGGAGCTAGAGTCATTTCAGCTCCGGCAACCGCTCAACCATTCCCTTACCCAATAGCCGGTACGACACATGGTTCTCAAGACAAATGCTGTGTGCGGTGCGCACCACGTCTCCTCCCCGGAGTGTCTGTAAGACTGGAAACCGCAGGGCCGGCTTGTTCGGAAGGACACGCTGCCCTGAGTAAGAGGCTCTCCTAGAGAGCAATGCGATGACTGACTGTACAGTCAACCTGGGTTTGCTTACAGCCCAAAGAAGGCGCACAGACGGTACAAAGGAAACGAGGGTCAGGAGGAATCTTAGAGGGAACAAAACTCCATGTTCCACGCTCCTACAAAAAAACCTCTCTGCTCGCACTCACGCTAAATGCTTACTCTCTTTTTCTTCCCTTTGAAGAGGGAAACGGAGACACAAATGGGCAAAAAAGGAAGGCAGCTGCATCCCTCCCTACGTGGGCGTTCTCGCCTTGACAGGCAGCCGGATGCCACCCCAGCTACCACTCCGCCCTTGTACAGACAGTAAATGACTTTGGCGAGGAGAGCCTCTCATTTCCAACTCCCCCTAACCCTTGCCATCAGTGGAAGCCAAAGGGAGGCCGTCACCCCCTGGACGCTCTAGGCGTGTTCTCGCTTCTCTCCACTGAGGGCTGGAAGATCGAGCCCCTGCTAATATAATAGGGTTCTTCTAAACACCAGGCTGGGACAGAAAGGCAAGGCAGGAGCCGAGACAGGTGGTGGTCCCCTGGGTGAGTTCTCGCTCGCTCGCGCACCCGCCACACTCACACCCTTACCTCCCGCAGCTCCAGCCTCTGGGCCACAGCCTCCAGGCACTCCTGCCCGGTGCTTTCCACCGACAGCGTGCACTCGATGACATTGCTGTCCAGCAGGCGGATGCGGGTGACGAAGCAGTTCTTGCTCAAGACGTTGTAGCGCCGTGTCCGGCGGAGCTTCAGGCCGAAAGGCATGGCTCCGGCCCTCGGGTGTCGCCCTCCTCTCCCGGCGCCCACGCCCCTGAGATGGCCTTAGCAGTTCCGGGACGCGGCGATGGCACTACCAGCCGTGCTCCTCCAGACACGGGAGAAGGTGTCCATGCCCGGGGTGGCACGCTGCAGGGTCGCTGCAAACAGAAAAGGAGCGAGGTCATTCGTGGAGAGGAAGCTGATGATACGGCACATTTTTCAGAGGCACAGACACCCTCTTCCCCGGATCAACATCCAGATTCCAGAACCTGCAAGACACCTGGGAGAGCCCATGCACTTTATCTTATCTTACAAGGGTGACATGATAAACTCCTCGGTTAGAACCGAAGAAATGGAGATTCAGAGAGATGAAAAGAACTCATCCAAGCACTGGCCAGTGGCTCAGTTGGTTGGAGCGTCATCCCGTACACCAAAGAGGTTTCAGGTTCCATCCCCAGTCAGGGCGCATACCTAGGTTGTGGGTTCGATCACGGATTGGAGCACGTACTGGAGGCAATCAAGATGTTTTCCTCTCTCTCCCTTCCTCCCTCTCTCTCTAAAATCAATAAATATATCCTCAAGTGCGAATTAACTAATTAATTAAATAAAGGAACTCATGCATGGCAAAGAATTCACACCAACGTCTGCAACCTCAACTCACATGCTTTTTTCACTGTACAATTCTGTCTGCCCGAGAGAGCAATCGGAGTGGAATCAACACTGTTTCTTTAACTTCTAAATATATATTATCTCATTTCAACCCCATGGACAACCCTGTGGTGTAGATTTTATGATCTCTGTTTTGCAGAGAGAAAAAGCGAGGTTTTTGTGGATTTAAAAAATTCACTGATCCTAAAATTAAAATCTCAGCACTGCCTCTCTACTTTTAGCAACATGATTTGCCTTTATTTTTATTTTAATATTTTATCACTTATTTGCTTGTTTATTTACTGAGAAAGGATAATGGAATATGGAGGAAATACACAATTAATATAGGCGGCAACTTCCTACTTTAAAAAAAACATTTTAAATTTATGAATTCTTTAATGTGCTTGTCCTTTTTTTACCAAATATTTAGACAGTCAGATATGGAGAACCACCCTATCACCATTTTGTTCTTTTACAAAATGCTTGATGCAAAAGCCCTGTGACCAAATCACCGATAATTTAACTTACTAAAAATGAGATTTCCTGACACCCTGGTGGTCCACCAAATGCCAGTGATGACATCATTGCCATGGAGAACCCAACAATAAAACGACAACAACCAAGTGGCTTTTCCGTCCCACCCTGAGCCAGCAATGCTCTCACGGGGAGGCTCATACCTTCCAAAGAAGCCAGAGATGGCCCGGCAGCCCCTCTGTTCAACCTTCTGCTCTCCATATCAAGCTCACAGGACCATCTCCTGTTCCCATGATCCCTCTGTTAACCTGATTCCCTGCACCGGGCAGTTCAGCCAGCCTTCAAACCCTTCATCCATAGAATTACCTCTGAGCCCCCTGACACTTGAATGGACAAGTATGAATAACTACTTGCCGGAATTATTGAACTAATAAATAAAATGGGCCCGGCGGTGTGGCTTAGTGTTTGAGCATCAACCCATGAACCAGGAGGTCACATGCCCGGGTTGTGGGCTTGATCCCCAGTAGAGGGCGTGCAGGAGGCAGCCAAGCGATGATTCTCTCTCATCATTGATGTTTTTATCTCCCCCTCTCCCTACCGCTCTGAAATCAGTAAAAACATAGAAAAAATAACTAAATAAATAAATGAAATGGCTTCAACATTTAGGAACCACTCCGTGTCGGTACCCCAGGCCTCACGAAGGTTGTCAGAGCATAAAACTACAACACAGCAAAACACACTCCCCACACTCCCTCAGCCGGTCTTTGATGCCTGCCCTCGGCACATTCCTTAGCATGACAGGGATATGTTTTACGATGGCTTAAAATATACATGCCAGCAGAGGCTGCGACTTGGTAAAATAGATTAACATTTCTAAATCACTTTAGGTTGGCAGAGTATCATGTTTACTTCCAAGGTAGGCCAACCTGATGATCTCCTGATATTTGCAGAAAGGAGGATGGAGGGACCCGCCCAGAAAAGACAAAAAGAGAGCCAGAATTCAAATACAGAGCCCTGAAGAGTTTACTACTCACGCATTCCCAGAACTTGTTGAAACACAGGACACAGAACACCAAGCTTCAATTCCTATATTAGCCGGGGAGCCTCACACAGAGGAAAATATTTGCACTGTGGGCACAAGCCACATAGCTAATCCTGGGCCAGGCACTTTACAATTTGGGTGTGTCTCGTCTTAAACACCGATCAAGGAATGTGGCTGGCTTGGTGCACATGTATCCCAGCCACTATTAAAAACAACCCTTGCTACCTATTCTGTGGGATTCTGTCCATAACGCGCAGTTAGTGGGGCAAAAAGTAAGCTGCACAACAACAGTTTTTATAATACATAAACAAAACAAAAAAAACCCCACAGAAATGGGAAAGAAGATAAGTTCACCAAAGCGATTAACTGTTATCTCGGGACTACACAGTGGCGACATTAAATAGAACTCTCGCTTTATAGTTTATAGACTTCTAAACCGTTCTAACATTTTATAGCTGCCTTATCTTATTGTGGCAAATAAAGAGTAAAATGCATTAGATACTGAAAATGGTATCTCAGGAACAACATCAGACAACCTGCCAAGATATCTCCTACACAATACCTGACTATTTTAGGTTTTGCACAGCATTTTAAATCTTCAATTTGCAAGAAACTTCCCTGGTAAGGTAGCAACAAAAAGGTTATCAGAAAACTGGTTCAGTCCTTCTAAAGGTCAATATCATGAAACAAAAACTAAACAGGTGGGATTAGAAGGCGGCTGCTCTAGGGTAAAAGAGGTTTAGGGGGCGGGGGGCACACAGTGCAGTATACAGATCTTGCACCATAGAAACCCACACCTGAAACCTGTGTGATCATATTAACCAATGTCACCCCAATACCTTTCATTTAAAAAGGAAATAAAAGAGAGGTGTAGGAGAAAAACAAAATGCAAGGTGTGACCCTTAATGTCACCCCAATATATTTCATTTAAAAAGGAAATAAAAGAGAGATGTAGGAGAAAAACAAAATGCAAGGTGTGACCCTTCATCAAACCGAGGTGTGGAAAAAAATAAAAAGATGTGGACAATTAGGGAAATTTGAAAGAGAGAACAGGAATTGGATAGACTGTATTGCTGTTAAATTTCTTCCATTTCTTGTAGTGGAATTATGCTTCTGCCGGTGAATGGCTTTAGGAGAAGCCAATGGATATACTGAGGGGTGAAATGTCACGATGCCTGTGACTAACAAACGGCTAAAAACAACACACGCACATAGGTACATGCACACGTTCAGAGCTGAAACAAGGATGACAAAGCATTAACAGCTGTTGAATCTAGGTGGTAGGTGTCCAGGTATTCATGGCACTATTCTTTTCGCTTTTCTGTGTATCTAACACTTTTCACAATCAAAAGGTTAAAAAAAAAAAGGCAACCCTCCACGCAGGTACAGAACAGATTCCAGCCACACCTACTCCTTACGGCTCCGTTTCAGTGGCACTGCCTCTCCCCGTGGACTTCTCTGATCCTGCCCTCAGATCACCTTGGCTGCACTCCCACAGTCATTTTCATGCTTATTTAACAGAGCAAACTGATTTATGTCAGAAGTATCCACACACCTTGACTCTAAACTCCTTCAAAGCTAGAAGCAGGTTTCCTCCATCTTTGAGACCCACACCATTGACCTCAATTAAAAGCTGGCGGCATTTACAGCCAGAACTGTGTGCTCACAGAGCTGGGCTTCTGGAAAGAACTCCCAGGCTGTCATTTACGACATTCCTTACCTTCAGGAAGGGCTACACCTGAAGCATCCCAGGTAAACAATCTGTGTGACACTAATCTGTAACCAGAGGGAGGTCAGTGATGACCGCCCAGTCCCTTTCAGTCTTAGCATGTTGTGTCTATGAATTACCTCGCATATTTAAGCTCCAGAAGATGCCACAGCATCTGTCACTCATCCACCTCTGACCTCTCTGGAGGAGAATATAGTTCTACCTTAAACACAAGCCAGCTCCCTGCTGTGTGTAAGCCGAATTCCTTAGCTTTGTCCTTGAAAGACAGAGAGACAAGGGCTCTGATATCCCACCATATACCAGAATCGACATGAAGTCTACTAGCGAGTCCTGTGTTACACAGCCTGGCTCCTGGCACCTTTCTCACTTTCCCCATGTGGTTCGCTGGGGACTCGACACATGAACATTATCAAGCCTAGAACCAGCCCGGCCCAAGTGGCTCAGTTGGTTGAGCATTGTCCTTCTGTGCACCGAAGTGTTGCTGGTTCAATTCCTGGTCAGGACACATACCTAGATTGTGGGTTGGATCCCATGTATGGGTGTATACAGAAAGTCTCTCTTTCTTTCTCTCTCTCTCTCTCTCTCTCTCTCTTCTAAGAATGTCCTCGGTTGAACATTAAAAATAAAGAAATACAATAAAACCTAGAACTAAATGCCATACTCTCATAGAAAGCTCACATGTTCATGACACTTCAGATTTTCCTGGTGAAACTGGCTTTTCAAAAGAGATCAAGTTAGGCAGTTGTCTTTCTATTTACTACAAGGTGTTTCTTAAAACAGAAAGCTCTTTTAAAAATAAACACTCATCTAAAACACAGAATTTTCTTGATCCGCTCGTAAAGAACATTATCTAATACATGATATGAGCTGCAATTGTTGCTAATACCCAAATCATGAAGGTTAAACAAGTCTCTTTTGTGACTATCGATGGTAAAACTAACAGTAAAGACTAATTTATTCGAATTTTAAAATATAGTCTATTAATCCCCTTTTTCTTAGGTACACCTTAGAAAGAAAAGTAAGAGAGTTAGATGCTAGCCCTTTAGTGATGAGAGTAACTGGGAATAAGAAGCAAAGAAAAAAGCAAACCAAAACAAAAAAAACAAGTGCCACACACACTGAGAACTCTCTAACTCGGGGTCTTTGTCTCAGCAAAGCAAAGGAAACTGTTAACGGCTGCACTGGAGAAAGTCACTGCAGAGGAGGGTGGGCTCAGTGCTTCCGGGAACCCACGTTCGCTCTTAAGGAAAAGAACACAGGCAAAC